GTGTCGCATCTTTGACACTTTTTTCACCATTGACTTCCAGAAAATGTTCTGACGGTTACTGTTAGGCAGTGCTGGGAAGGTTACTTTGTAAATGTAATAGGTTACAGATTACAAGTTACCCTATTTAAAATGTAATAAGTAGTGTAACTATTTGAATTACTTTATTACTGTATGTAACTGATTACTTTTCTAAAATTCCTACAAATGTTTTCAACTGTTAATCATTTTGAAACATGTAAACCAGGCAGGGTTAACCTTACAGTAGAACTCAACACTGATTACTGTCAGACTTTCAAAATCCTTCTTCACTAGAATAAAGATTTTAATAATTTAATTTTAAAGCTGTCACCACAAAATCAGACTTATTTTGAGATCGTTCTGAGGTTAGATACAGATTTAAAACCATACCATGAAATAGTTTAATAGCTATACTGATTTTGAAATCAAATCCTTGTATAGCTACGACAGGAAACACTGGGATCTAACAATGCCTTGGAAAAACAAACAAACACAAAACAGCATTATTGAAAAAACAAAAAACAAAGAAAGTTTGACTTCAGGAGTGGACCAGGCTAAAATAACAAACAAAAATAGCTAAACTAAAACCCGCTAAATTACTTAAAAGAAATGAAAAACATAAAAAGAAATACAGCTTAACTTCTCTAACTCCCTTTACCCAAAAACAGAGAACAAACAATATTTACAAAAGAAATGGCATCACACTCCCTACATCCCTTAATGTACTATTTACAAGTAGTATTTACACAATGTTTACAATCGAAGGCAAACAAATCCAAATCGGCAATCTAAGAATCGTACAGTAGAATTATTGTACAGTAGAATAAAAAACCACACAAAGGAGTAAGACAGAGCAGTACAAAATGACACACATTGGGAAAACTAGTGTTTGCGGTGGTCCTTATATCTGGAATAGGAGACAAGACTGGACCGGTCGGATTTCTGTTGATTGATGGGCACATCCCTCCTGGACCCAAACATACTCGAGACACAGCAGCGAACAACAAATGCTTTAAACACACAACTAATAACATACACAACAAAAATGCAAACCAATGACAACCTAAAACAGTCTCTTCACTCTTATATTACAGCCAACACAATCCACTAAAACCTTAATGTCCAGTGGCACCTTCTTCCACTTCTGTACACCTGTATGAATAAACGACATCTGCCCATAAAGTCCTACACATACTGTACATAGCTTAATATCCATAATACGCTGTAAAATGTCCATGTCTTACATTAATCCATGAGAAATATAAAGTAAAATAAACAGGTGCTCGATTATTAATTATTTCAGTCTCTGTTGATTGTCTGTGTGTCTCTGTAGCGGCTCCTTATTCACCATCAGCAGATCTTGAGGAAACTGGACTGACGTCTAAATACTGAGAGTCCTACAATAAAACACACAGACAGTCACATATGAGTATGAGACATTACTGCTGTCACATCACATCAGCAGATCCATTTCAGAAAAAAACAGAGATATTAGAATATTCATATTATAGTCAAAGATATGAATTAAAATCGTATAATCTCTTATATTCTCCACTTACACATATACAAGGCCTGTTAGTCTATTTAAAAGCTTATAATAAAAATATACTCACAATAGTATAGTTTTGCTAGTTTATAATCTGGATCATCTTTTAGACCAGAAAGTAACTGCACTTCAGAACATCCTAGTTTATTCTCAGACAGATCTAGTTCTGTCAGGTGTTCAGGGTTTGATCTCAGAGCTGAAGCCAGAGCATCACAACCTTCACCTGTGATGCCACAATCTCTCAACCTGTAGAGAGCAATGACAATTTTCACTCTCAAAGTTTTGTTACAAGATGCTATGACAACCTTTGTTAATTTCAATTTTTTACAATCAATAGTTTAGTACTGGTAAATGTACTACTATTATTATTATTACAGTAGGTCTTTTTTGGCACTTTTATATCACAACACTACCTTTTAGAAGTTTGGGGTTTAAATTTTTGAAAGAAAATTACAACTACAAAAATACAGTAAAAACAGTTATATTTTGAAATATTATTGCAATTTAAAATAACTGTTTCCTGTTGTAATATGTTAAAATCTAATTTGTGTTCAAAGCTGTATTTTCAGCATCATTACTCCAGTCTTCAGTGTCACATGATCCTTCAGAAATCATTCTAATATGCTGATTTGCTGCTCAAGAAAAATTTCTGATTATTATCAATGTTGAAAACGGTGCTGCTTCATATTTTTTGTGGAAACTGTGAAATTATTTTTCAGGATTCTTTGATGAATAATGAACTCAAAAGAACAGCATTTATTTGAAACGGGAATCATTTGTAACATTACACATGTATTTACTGTCACTTTTGATCAATTAATGCACATGTATGTCATATCTCACACAGGAATAAAAAGCATCAAAGAGATGATCTTACTTTAGTTTCTCCAGTTTACAGTGAGAATCCTTAAGTCCATCAGATAGATGCTTCATGCCCAAATCTAGTAGTTTATTTCCAGACAGATCCAGTTCTCTCAGGTTTGATCTCAGAACTGAAGCCAGAGCAGCACAACCTTTATCTGTGATATTACAGTCATCCAAACTAGAGAGATTGAACATTTAAGTACAATAAATTCAACACAGTAACAGTAAAAAAACAACAACAAAAAACACTTAAAGAGTCCTATTATGCTTTTTCACTTTTTTTTTTACTTTAGCAAATTACTTCTTCAGGGAGGCAAACTCATCAGGGGTGAAACAAGTTGAGTAATAATAATAATTGTATTTAATAATAATGATATTCATGGCTGTTTTAATTTATGTGCTTTTATACGTTAAACAACAGCCTCATGGCATCAAATATCTAAATATGATATCAAATCTAGAAGAAAGGCTTACAAACAAAGGCTTTGATTATAGGCTATGTTACTACCTCTCAAGTCATTGGAAACTTGGGTCAGTACTAACACAGGTTTACAGATCCCTAGCACATGCGCCAGCACACTTTTAGGAAAATGTTTTGATAGTGTAGTGGTCATCAGTGTTACTTACTGTGCTGATCTGGATTCTTTAATCACAGGAAGCAGCTTCCGAACGACTTTATCTGACGCATTTTCTCTTCCAACAGATTTATTCAGCTCAAACACATCCATCATTTGCTCTGATGTCAACAAGAAAAACACTAAAGCTGACCACTGCAAAGAGGTGAGTTTGGCTTCAGCTAATGTTCCAGATTTCAGATACTGTTGTATTTCCTCCACTATTGAATGGTCACCTAGCTCATTCAGACAGTGGAACAGATTGATGGATTTTTTTGGAGAGCGACTGATCCTGATCTTCTTTTTGATGTGCTCAACTGTTTCCTCATTGCTCTCAGAGCTCCCTCTTGTCGGTTTCATTAGTCCTTGAAGAAGACCCCGATTAGATTTCACTGACAGACCCAGAAGGAACCGCAGGAAAAGATCCAGATGTCCATTTTTACTCTGTAGAGCCTCATCCACAGCTCTCTGATGCAGCTCAGATAATGAAACATGTTCTGATGAA